ATGAATAGAAAATAAATATGTAATTATAAGTGTTGAGAAAATTAGATGTTGGTTTTTTGATAGGATTGCTAAATTGACAAACCTCTGATGAAACTGGTCAAGAAGAAAATTGAACAAAAATATGAGGGGACTTCAAAATTTTGTGGAAAAATGGGAATTCAAGATAATGAAAAATTTCCATGAACTTTTTGAAGCCCATTCATGTTGTTGGTGGGTGCCATCGAGTCAGCACTGACTCATAATGGCCTTGTACACAATAGAGTGAAACACTGCCCTGTCCTGCAACAACCTCACAATTGTTGCTAGACTTGAGCCCATTGCTGCTGTCACTGTGCCATTCCATCTCATTAGAGGTTTTCCTCTTTTTCTCCACCCGTCCACTTTACCAAACATGATATCTTATCCAGGGACTGGTCCCTCCTGATAATATGTCCAAAATAAGATGAAGTCTGGCCATTCTGGCTTCTAGGGAGCATTCTAGCTGTCCTTCTTCCAGCATAGAATGGTTTGTTGTCTTGGCAGTCCATGATACTTTTAATATTTTCTTCCAACACCCTAATTCAAATGCATCAGTTCTTCTATGTTGTTGTCAGGTGCCATCGAGTTGGAACTGACTCATAGCGACCCCATGCACAGCAGAACGAAACAATGTCCAATCTTGGGCCAACCTCACTACTGCTGCCACACTTGAGTCCATCAATGATGTCACCTGGCCAATCCATCTCATTAGGGGTCTTCCTCTTTTTCTCTGACCTTACCCAGCATGACATCCTTCTCCAGGGACTGTTTCCTCCGGACCATATGTCCAAAATTCTTCTATGGTCTTCCTTATTTACTGTCCAGCTTTCACATGCATATGAGGTTATTGATAATACCATGTCTTGGTACTGGCGCACCTTAGACCTCAAACTGACACCTTTGCTCTTCAACTCTTTAAAGAGGTCTTGTATGGCAGATTTGCCTAATGCTATACATCATTTGATTTCTTTACTGCTGCTTCCAGGGATGTTGATGGTTGATCTGAGCAAAGTGAAGTCTTTGACAACTTTGATCTTTTCTCCACTTATATAGATATTGTTTATTGGTCCAGAGGTGAGGATTTGTGTTTTCTTTATATATGAGGTGCAACTCATATTTTCCTTAGTAAGTATTTTAAGTACTCATGGAAGAAAAAAATTAGCCCCATCATAGAAGATAAAAATTAGTTCCCTAATAGAAGACAAACTTTAGTAATATTGTAAATGAAAACTATACTATTTATATTAAAAATATTACAAGAGAGTGTTATAAGTTGAAAATGTAACTACAGTTCAAAAATTCCAAGAATAATATAACCTACCAATAGTAGCAGAAAGCATCAAGAGAAGATAGAAGGAATACGCAGAGTCACCTAACAACAACAACATCCGTGACTGTGTGGCAGATTTCTTCCTTCAAAGAGATTGAGATTCTCTAAGGTTGTGAACTGGTTTAGGTTTGGAAATCCCTGGTGGTGATTATGTGCCATGGAGTTGATTCTGATGCATAGTGACCCTGTATAGGGTTTCTGAGGCTGTAAATCTTTATGGGAGCAGAAAACCTCATCTTCCTCCCACAGAACTGCTGGTAGTTTGGAACTGCTGACCTTGAGGTTTTTACTTTTTAATTTATCAAGAAGGAGCCACATGGTATAGTGTTAAAGCACTTGACTGTTAACTGAAAGGTCAGTGGTTTGAATTTGCTAGCTATTCCACAGGAGAAAGATGTGACAGTCTACTTCAATATAGAGCATAGCGTTGGAAACCCTATGGGGGCAGTTCTGCTGTTTCCTCTGAGATCACTATGAATTGTTATATACAGGTTGGTGCCTGTATATTTTATTTTTAGAGACCCTGAAGTAACTGCCATAATCCTTGTGCCCAAAATGCTGCTCCTCTCAAAAAAAAAAAAATTATTTTTTAAGCTTACTATGGTAATTTCATCCATTTTGCCTCAGACAGTTAAGTATTGCCACATAAACTATACCTGGTCCTGTTATTCCCATTAAATTCAAAGACATATACTACATTGAAGCATCTCAAGCCTACAGAAAACAACCACCAGGGATTTTCACTTTCTTGATGTTCTTCTTACCAAAGTGTTATTTAATGCCTTGATGAAGGAATTGTCCTATGGCTGGCTCTCTCTAGAGGTATGGTTAGTTAGGAGTGGTTACTGAATAGATTGCACATTATAGATTCATTCAGTTTTCCCATTTTTATATGTAACTCAACACTGCTTACTCTATAGACTGTTTGGAAGGTCCATTATTTTACTTCACTGACAGAAAAAGCACTGTTAAGTCTAATTTTAGTTTGTCATCCTAGTAAAATATTAGCATTACTACTACTTCGATCCACCACATTAGCTAAGAAGTCCCAGGTCAATTACCCATTTTAATTAATTTGTTATGGTGTATACTTCCTCATGTGGCACTGTGGGTTAATGTGCCAGACTGCAAAGCCATTTGAACTGCAAGGTCGGCAGTTCAAGCTCACCAGATGCTCCTTGGAAACCCTATACAGGGTCACTATGGGTTGGAGTTGACTCGATGGCACTTAACAACAACAACAAATACTTCCATTTCAGGAGTCCTGGTGTGGTGCTATAGGATAAGCACTGGACTGCAAAGTTGGTTTAAACTGCAAGGTGGTGGTTCAAACCTACCAGCTGCTCCTCAGAAACCCTACACAGGGTTGCTTTGAGTAGGAACCAACTCAATGGTACTTAACAGCTACCACCATAACAATCCTTCTATTTCATACCTTTGGCTCAAACTTTTTCAAATGATAAACTATCTCTTCCCATAGCAGAACATTTTCTTTCCAAACTGTGTTGGGATTTAATTCTTAATATGAACTGAGACAATGAGAGGTGATGAGACAACTGTCCCAGGACAGTTGCCTTAAAAAAGTAAACTTTTTTCTTTTTAAAGAAGTGGATGGCTCACTCAATTTGGAGAGGGCTTCCACTGCTAGCAAATGAAGGAATATTTGTCCATGTCTCTCCAAATGTCACCATCCCTAGTTGTACTACTGTTACAATAGCAAGAAAGTGATTTTGTTTTCTTGAAATCATGGCCTCTACCTGGACTTTTTTTTTAATGCCAACTTTGGTCATAATTTGAGATGTTATCATGCTACCCCAAACTTCGAATTATTGATGTCCTGTTTCTCCTTGGTAAGGAAATTATGTATGTACCAGAAATATTTGAGCTCCCTAATCTAAGTGTGTTATCTTTAGGGCCTCTTTTCTGTGGCTTTTCTTGATATCACTTATTGTATTAGGGAAGGCCATACCAGGAAGGAAATATGACAGTTGGTTATACTGAGTAATTTGGTTTTGAGACCACTTTGGGAAGTGAGAGTATTATCTGAATTATCCTAAGAGAATATCAGAACCGTTGTCAGAAATTTGGTGAATAGAAGATATGGCTCTTTTAGCCATACTCTTTGTAACTCATATTAAAGAACTGGGCGGTGCCATGAAGACTGAGTATATTGCCTCTTTTCTAGATGTATCTGTGTAAGAAAAGGTGGGTGAAGATACTGATAGGATTATATGATTCACTTGTGAGTGATTGTAGGATTGATTGTGATTGTAAACACTTGGAAAACTAGAGGGAATTGGCCAATTTTGCCATCCTGCTGGATATAAAATGTTCGAACCTCTTAGAAGCAGGGACAAGCAGATGTTATGACCATTAAGAAGAGCCAGTAGTGGAGCATGTCCTTTAGACTCTGAGGTTCCTAAATATTTAACTTCCTTGATCCTGGGACAGAAAACTGTGACACCAGAGAAACAGCAAAGAAGTGGCAGAGGAACATTAGCAGCAGAACGAAGAGCCAGAGTAGGAGGCAGAGTGGTGGGCTTCCTGGCCCATAAAATGAGTAGAGCTGAGTGACTTAGGAAGGAAGCTATCTTGTAAAGTGGGATACCTCCCGCCACTTAATTAAGGGAACTAAGTTTGCTGAACCATGGAGCTAGAGCTGAATGCTCTTGGACTGAGGCTTATGGCGGAGTGTATGCCATATGGACATTTATCTGCAGCTCTAAAATAGCTTTGTAATCCTGCCCAAGCTGGTTATAGACCAAGAGGTCACGTGACTGAGAGGCCAAGAACCAGAGAAAAGCCTGCCTGTGGTCATGACTGGAAAGCGGCTGCCCTTACTGAAGAACTGTGTGGAACATTTCTGATACTGAATTGTAACTTGTTAATTTCCTAATAAAGCTCATAATTGAGAGCATTGTCTGTGAGTTCTGTGTAGCTATTGTAATGAATTCTCGAACCCACCTGAGAAGTAACAAGCACTGTGGGAAGGATGGTTGGTGTCTGATTTGGTAAGGAAGATGGAGAGTGATGGCATGTCTGATTCTTTTCTCACAGAACTGATTTGGGGTCGGTGCTGAGTTTGATTCTTCTACCTTGGGAAGTCAGAGGAGGCCGGATGCCACACTACAGTTAAAACTCTATATAAATATTCTTCAACAACAGCCTTTAAAAAATAAGCTATGATTCATTGTTGTTGTGTACTGTTGAATCAATTCCAACACATAGCGACCCTTTATGTTGTTGTTGTTATGTGCCATGGAGTCAGTTGTGACTCATAGCGACCCTGTACAGGATTTCCGAGGTTGTAAATCTTTATGGGAGCAGAAAGCCTTATCTTTCTCCCGCGGAACAGCTGGTAGTTTCGAACTGATGACCCTGAGGTTAGCAGTCTGATTTGTAACCACTACGCTACCAGCAACCCTGCATAGCAACCTAATAATTATTTTAGGTATTCATTTAAAACATGACAAACTTGGCATAGATTAAATATGCTTATATTCAGCTTAATAATAATAGCGTCTCACCTTTCTAAGTAGTTGTGCCCCAGTATTTAAAAATATTTGATAAAAAAATTAAAATGCTTAGAATTAGAATATTATTTTTACCATTATTTCAATTGTCTTTCTTTGAATTTTCTTGGTTAATATAGTATCCCAAGGAAATGACTTTGGAGGCATTTTCAGTTATTGTGACCCAGTTGCTGGGACTCAGCATGGGGATATCATATGATAACCCAAAGGAATGTCACTGTTCAGGAGGCATCTGTATAATGAATCCAGAAGCTATGTAAGTGTTTCATTAAAAAAAAAAAAATAATAAGATCTACTTATTGATTGTTATATATATTTTGTCAATACTTGAAGTGCAATAATTTAGAATTTACTTAAAGCAGAAATTATTAGTGGACTAAATTTGCTGCAAAATATAAGTATGTGTATTTTACACAAAAGAGTAGTGTCGAGGGAGGTGTCCCTTTAAAGACAATCAAGGATAACAAATCCAATCTGCAAGATACATTAGTGAAGCAATTCTCTGTTAAGATATCTGTGTATTTTATGAAACCACTTAGTAAGGACTTTAAAAAATATTTCAGCAAGTCAAAACAATAATCTTAATTTTTAGAAAGCATTTTTGGTGTATTTGTAGGGTAGTTTGATGATGTGCCAAATAATTATAAGAACAAAAAGTCCTACATGGAGACTTTGAACAAATAGTTGTGTAATTTTAGGCAAATTAATTGACTTTGCTTAGATTTATTTTTCTAATCTTTAAAATGGAAACAGTTATGACTATCCTTTTATTTCACATGGTTATAGATATATAAGAATAAAATGGGAAAGTGGAATGAGATATTGCTTTCTAAATTATAAAATTCTGTAAATATGTTCTGGATTAATTGTATGATGACAGGTAGGGTTGTCAGTGTTTCCAAAATAGTGTATCAGACAAGTGCTGCAGTAGATATATTTAATGTTCATCATGTTTGATTTTCTTCATTTAAAAAAATGGTTTATGATACATTATCCATTTATAACTTAAAATCAAAAGTGAAAATGAAGCATTACTTTTTGAGAACATGCTTTTTTCGTAGTTTCTCCTAAGCATGTGTGGTTAGTGCTTATACTCTAAAACTAATCAAAACCCAAAAATACATGTTGTAATAATGATGATCATATGAATAACAAATTTTGCATCGTAAATAAGTGTCGTTCCATTTTCAGTGCTTTGAGTACTTTACATAGATTAACTCATTTGATACTCACATCTCTATGAGGCAGGTTCTATCATTATTCCCATTTTTATAAATGAGAAACGGTTACAAAAGGGATAATTTCCCATGATCCAGTAGTTAGTGAGTGGCATACTACCTGGGTTTTGATCATAGGTAGTGTGGATTTTAAATCTCTGTTAATACACATTTAGGTTCGGATGATGTCTTATAATTAAAAAATGTTTTTACATTATCTTAGACTGGGTGTTCTAGAGAAACAAAATCAGTTTATTATCAAGGAAATGGCATACAATTGCAGAGCCCCAGGTCCCCAGTGGAAGAGAGAAAGCTTTTCCCACATATTCATTAAATTAGGAGCAGGCCACACCACCAAGGAAGCATCCCTTTAATTGATTAGTTGCTCAGAGCCATTCATCATAGAGTTAATTATGCCCGTATTAGGTTTTATCACCATAGGAATAAGCACATCCTAACTTCTAAACCTTTGGACTTCCTGTTCTAGTCAAATTGACACAAAACCTTAACTATTACACATATATGATCTACAGTTTCTTACAAAATTCTTAAATAAGTCTTAGGTCATAAGGTATCTTAGTTTTTACAAAATTACATGGCAACAACTACATTATTTCATTTCTCATTTTTTATTTTCAAAGAAGGTATATGTGTAAAGCACTTAAAAACCTTTTTGTTTTTTAAACTGTGGAATATAGACAGCCTACACGACTCTACATTGAAAATACAGGTAACTAGTAACCAAACTGCAGCTGATGTCAGTAATAGCACCAATGATTTATTGGGCACCTACTGTAAGTCAGACAGTTGAATTAGGAGCTTGGCTTGTTTATTGATAATTGATC